TTTCGAATAGGCAGGAGTAACTTACAAACTTTTTTCTTTCGCACTGGGAGCCGGCCTAATGTACATGTCTCTATTGTTGCTTTTATGAGCTCGTCGAATTGATGTTGTGTCATTGCGATTGCTGACTGTGTGGAAGCGAAGGTTCCACTCAATTTGCTGTCATCGCAAATACTAAATTTGTAGTCGTTTGCAAAGGTTTATTTGTGGTATGTATGTGTTTTTGTACACAATGTACATACTTTCTAATTTCGAAATAAAAGTGAATACACACATACATACATAAATGTATTAAAATACAACTAAAAAAAGAAATGTAAATTAGCCAACAAATGACAGTAATTTTCGCGTATATATGGGCGCTTTTACTTGCTAAAGCATAAAATTATATGTAAATACATGCATAACATAGTTAGCCTATGTACGTTGCAATGTTACAGCACAGCGGCGGCGATGACAGCAGCTGTGGTAATAATACTCGTAAAAAAAAAAAACAAAAAAACCCGTTACGATAATTCGCCTGCATCTTAAGTTTTTTTCATGCAATGTTTCGCGCTTTTCTTTCTATTTGTTTTTGTGCATTTTTCAATTTATTTAATTGTCTGCAGCTACCAAAAGGATGACTTTCAAATTTGTTGGAGAATGCAAAAAATAATTGTAGAAATTCGACCTATGTACATATGCTACCACTTGCATCTGGACCTACCCATTATCACCCCGAACTTAAAAATACTAATTGGGCCGGCTTCGTAGCTACCGCAGTTCCGCCCCAACTTACCGGCTTAAGTTGCTGTACTGGCAAACTAGCATGACCATCTATACCCGGTCGCAAGGGTCCTCATATCAGGAACTAAACGGAGAACGACAAATTACCTGAGTTGTCGGCAGGCTACCTTCCTCGAAACTTAAAAGAATTAAACAAAAAATTTAAAATGGTTGAAAATTTAAAATGGTTTCAAAAAACTGCAGAGCCGCCACTCGGTTCTCAAATCGCTCGACGGTAGCACTTCGGGCAAAGATAATGAAACGTTGTTGGTAACATTACTGTTTCCCCGTTTAGCCAATGTGGACTAGCAGGGCGCCGTGGAAAAGGCTTCAGACTTCTCCGGACAGAAACGAGATGTCTTCTGCTGTCGTCTGAAAATCACCCGCAACATATCTCTACGAACCCACGTACCCATGTTGTACCGACAATCTATAAAACTACCTTTAAAAACTAACCTGCCCTCGTGAACGTCGCAGACGAAAAGTTTCAGCTGCCTCGAGAGACCCACGTATCTCTCGCCCAACTATGGCGTGTAGGACTTAACTCCTACTTATCCAGACTTGACCGCAAAATACCTTATACATGTCCGGCTTGTGATAGTCCTCCACACGACACCAGCACTTTTCCTAGACCTACATACCATTAGTGGAGCTTGATGACAACGATTGATAGACTAATCCAATTTGATTTTAGTAGCGTCGCTAGAACAACATAAATAATTTATGAAAGTAATCCTACACCAGAGTAGAGGCAATTTCAAGGCATTGAACGCAGCCTTGCTGTCTGCATACTCCCTCATTCTTAGTTCTAAGGCGTAAACCTCAGCCTGGAAGACAGAGTTGCCGGAGGAAAATCTAACATGCATAATTCGTCCTGGTGTACCAAATTTGAGGGAGAAAATTTTCCCCGATATGGGTTTTGTTGTAGTAAGCAGAGCTTCTTTATGAACTAATTTGAATTAAATTGTTCGAACACATGGCAACCCTCTTAATAAAGCCTTTTCCAACTCATTTCGATCGATACCCATTTTTTAATAATTTATCCAACTTATTGAATATTGAATGTAACTTTTTAAACATGTGGCAACCCTCTTCGAACATTCAAAAAGTTCAAACTAAAGATTTCTTAACATTATTTTGTTTGACTGTGGTATTTTTATATTTCATATACTTTTTGTATTAGTTGATTGAATTAGACCTTTCAAACAGATAGCAGCCCTCTTCAAAATTATTTTCAAGCTTAATCCTTGTTTACTCTCCTTCGTCGGACATTGCGATACTTATTTTAATTAACTGATGAATTAAGTGGAATTTCACTTTTTAAAGATGAGGCAACACGCTAAATCTGGATCAGAAATAAAAAAAATTTCAACCCCCCTTCGATTGGTACCCATATTTTTAACATTCATTTAACTTATTAAATAATTGGAATTTAACTTTTTAAACAGGCGATAACCCTCTTATAACACCTCAAAAATATTCTTTGCGTTCAAACTAAAGATTTCTGATTACTGCTTCGTTTGACATCCATATTTTGATATTTCACATAACTTGTGTATAAGTAAACTAAATTCGACATTTCAAGAAGATGGCAACCCTGTTGAAAATACTACTACTTTCTGAAACCCCTTTCGTTTGGCACCTACATGGTGATACATACAAATGTCTCTTACCTAATTCCCTTAATTCAAATTGAATTTGATTTTTTAAACAGGTGGAAACCCCATTGTAGTTCACTTAACAAACAAAGCTTTTCGAAACCATTTCGTTTGATACCCATTTTGTGATCACTGATTTATTTTTTAAATAATTTGAATATAATTTTTTAAAAGGTGGCAACTCTTTTCAAAAATGTAAAACCTTATTGCACTTGTGCAGTCCACGACTTTTAATATGACACCTCACTTTGTTACGAAATAACAAATCACAGACTTATTATTTTTGAAACGTAAAACTTAATTTTAATGTTCGGCTTCGGCTTCGGTGTTCGGCCGAATATTGAATAGTACCTAATATTCGGCTTCGGACAAAATTCCAGCTTCGGTTGGACATTAATATTTTGCATAAAACATCCATTAGCGAAACTGAGTTCCGTTTTGGCTTCGAAAGTTCAGGTCGCCCAAAAGACACCGACCGTCAAGTCAGAAATCTTCGATAAGATCCATGGAATGATATTGGAAGAACGGACAATAAAAGTGTGTAAACTGATTTGCAGCAAAAACGACCACATTTCACCAAGAAAAAATACTTTCTGTTCCATCAAGACAATGCTCGGGTGCACACGTTTGTCCTCACCATAGAAAAAA